TTCGTCCAGAGCTTGCTCCTATTAAGAAAGAAGGAAGACGTACATATCTACCACCAGCTTGCTATACATTGTCTAAAGATGAGAAAACAAAGTTTTGTAAATGCCTACATGGTATCAAGGTGCCATCTGGCTATTCTGCAAACATCAAGAAGTTGGTGTCAATGAAAGACTTGAAATTGATTGGTATGAAGTCACATGATTATCATGTTCTAATCACACATGTGATTCCTATTGCAATTCGTGGAATACTTCCGGACCATGTCCGACATACAATAACAAAGCTTTTCTTGTTCTTCAACATGATTCATTCGAAAGTGATTGATCCTGAAGTTTTGGACTCATGGCAACATGATATTATCCTCACTCTCTGTGAACTTGAAATGTACTTTCCACCTTCATTTTTTGATGTCATGGTTCACCTTGTATCCCATATTGTAAGAGAAATAAAGGCTTGTGGTCCGGTGTTTCTGCGATACATGTACCCTTTCGAGAGATATATGTGTGTCTTAAAAGGATATGTAAGGAACCGACATCGACCAGAAGGCAGTATTGTTAGAGGATATGCTGCAGAGGAAGTGATTGAGTTTTGTACAAACTATCTCAAAGGAGTCAACACTATTGGAATACCGCAATCACATCTTGAAGGTAGACTTCAAGGAGTTGGTATAACTGGATCGAAAGTGGTAATTCCTGATCGAGACGAATTCCACATGGCACACTTTACAGTCCTGCAACACATGACATCTGTTGCTCCTTATGCAAAGGAACACATGGAAATGTTACGATCAAGAAATAGTAGGAGGACCGAAAAATGGTTAGCTAACGAGCATATTAAAAAATTTCCACAATGGTTGAAAGATAAGGTGAAAGTAAGCTTAAGGACAAAAGATGTTGATAGATTAGTGCAGGTGTTGGGGTATGGTCCGCAAAATGTTGTGTCAACATATCAAAGCTATGACATTAATGGGTATACATTTTATACCCAAAACCAGGATAGAAAGAGCACACTACAAAATAGTGGAGTGACGCTAATAGCCATGTCGACCGAATACTCTAGTGCAAATCATGAGGGAAGGTCACGTATAGCCAAAGACTCGTATTATGGTGTCATTCAAGAAATTTGGGAATTGAACTATGATTCCTCGGTTGTAGTCCCCGTGTTCAAGTGTAAGTGGGTTGACAATAGAAGAGGTGTTAAAGTTGATGAAGACGGTTTCACACTTGTCAATCTTTCTACAAACGGTTATGTATCTGAACCATTTATTCTAGCTAAGCAAGCTAACCAAGTATTCTTTGTTGAGGACCCAATGGACACGAGATGGCACATTGTTCTTCATGGTAAACGACGTATACTCGGAGTTGAAAATGTCGTGGACGAGGAAGAATATAACCAGTTTGACGACCTACCTCCATTTTCTATTGGTATTCCATCTATGAATGTCGATATTAATGACGCTGCTTACTTAAGATTGGACCATAACGAAGGAGCATATGTTGAAGAAAGGTAATAAACCCCTCTGTTCAATCTAAAAATAAAAAATATAATTTGAATGTAAATCTGAAACATATGAGGATAGTATTATGTATGTATTTAATACATTTTTGTTTGCAGCAACACAGACGGACACGACACTGAAGGACAATAACAATGATAGTTGTAGTTAAGAACAATTCTATGTTCTTAACTACACATTGATGTGTTTGGCTATATGGATCATATGGAAACAGGTTACTTTCTGTTTGGCTATATGAATCATTGATGTGTTTACAACTTTAGATAGTAGTAAGGGTATTTTTGTAATTTTACAGGTAGAAGCAACTGTTATCCATCAATGTACACAGCTGCTATCACCACCAGATGATCCAACTTATGTCATGACTTACACAAGTTTATCTTCATTTTATTCTGGAATGAAAATGTTGAATGGTTACTACTATTATGTGTAAAAAAAGAAAGTACGGGGGTATTATTTGTAAAAAACAGAAGTACGGGGGTATTGTGTGTAAAAAATGAAAGTACGATGCTATTATGTGTAGAAAACAAAAGTATGGGGGTATTACGTGTAAAAAATGAAATTACGATGCAATTATGTGTAAAAAATGAAAGTAGGGGGTATTATGTATAAAAACTGAAAGTACGATGTTATTACGTGTAAAAAAGGGAAGTACGGGGGTATTATGTGTAAAAAATGAAAGTACGTGGATATTATGTGTAAAAACTGAAAGTACGATGCTATTATGTGTACAAAATGAAAGTATAATCCTATTGTTGAAAGTATTATTTTGTTAAAAAGAAAATTGATTCAAGTATAATGTTGTTAATAGGTATAATGCAACAGTAAACTACTTCTACTAATCAACATATTCTTTTTGAGATTTGAAATAAGAATGTTATTATAAAAAAATAAAAAAAAAAAAAAAAAAAAAAAAAACCCAACTAATGGTTGGGAATGTACATATTACAAACCGGAACAAAAAATGCCAAAAATATGACACCACCATATAGAAAGTTACCAAATCCTTGCAACTAATTACAACTAATAACAATAAACTTATAAATCTACCAAACAAGAGTGATGAACATTAAACCCAACAATGACTGTTTTCCCTTTTTACCCTTCCTGCCTTGAGTTTCATAGTAGTCCCCAAATTACCTCTGTTGCCCCTATTGGTCATTGGTAAGGACTGTTTTCCCCTTTTACCCTTCCTCTTGAACCGAACCATAGATTATCTACCATAACGATGACCTGCAAAAAAATCAATGAGGTTTTGAGAAAATTGTAACCTTCATATGTAAATTACTGGAGAAACTTATATCCACATGGAACCCATTCATTAAGACAAACAAAATAGCTAAACATTAGCAATAAAAATATTTGTATGATAATTCCTTAAAATACAATAATCATGGTAAAATGTCCAACTTGTCTTTTACTAAAATGTCCAACTTCTTTGCCTCTTAAAATACCTTTCTCCTTGCATCTGGATTTCTATCCATCTAATATATATCAATTAAAATCTTCAAAAGACATGAATGCCCTTACAAGTGTTTTTTGATAAAGAAAATGATTACTTACTGGAGCTAGACAAGGATTGCAATATATCATGACTTTAATACGTTTAAGACTAAGATCCTTAATAAGTTGTTTCCATCCTTGATACAATGTTTCATCCACTTCCTAATTCCACCATAATTGTGATATAATTATTGTCTTTCTCTATCCTACCCAATCTTACACAATGCCAAAATGTATTAGCATCATAAAAAAGGGTAAAAGGAAATGAAGAGGCTGAAAGATTACCTGCAACAAGAATGCTGATAATGATAAATTGAAAGAATTCTCGGTTTCCTTAACTGAAATAGAGAAAGCGCCCATGTTTTCCAAAGGGAGAATTGACACACAGATAGAAAATTTTGTATCAATTTTCCCAGCTTATAATTAATGACTTCAATCGATGAAGGTAAGTGGCCATTGAAATTTCAATTGTCGATTACAGACTTCAACTGATACTAGATCGATGCAAATAGAACAAGAATCAAGGGGAAAAATCAGAAAGCTTCACTATTGAATCATTCCCCAACCATCTGTAGTCTTCTTTCGCCAAAATTGTTACAATTTCTTCAATCCAGGTCATGTCGTCGTTACTGACCTGGTGGATCGAAACCACAAATCAGAAAAAGGAAGCTTTTATGTTAGGAAGGAAGTTTGAGAGCCCGAAACCCGCACCTTTTCCGGCGATTTCCAGCTGGGCGGCATCGCTTGCGTCGTCGTTTCCCTCTCAATGATGCCGCCATCGGCGACTACCCTCCTCTTAGTTGTGTTCCCTTGACTACACAAGAGCACAGTGGGATTGACAACCCATGTACGCTTGATATGCCCTCTGCATCTCAATTTCTTTCAACCAAATAACCTCAAATTGTGTTTCCTACTTCGATCCACTTCCATCTCCTCGTCTCAGCTCCTCCCTCATCACTTCTGATTTTTATGACAGCACACACCTAAACACGGTGTTTGTTTTGTTTTTTCCCCAAAATTGGGGTTTTAATTGTAAAGCAGCAAACGATGTCGTTTATAGGGTTTTGTACGAAGCTTATATAATGCTGTAATGTATATTCCTTATATATATATATATATATATATATATATATATATATATATATATATATATATATATATATATGGACGGGAATCCCATTTTTCTTTTATATGGATGTGCATATTGAAGGGGCCCATCAGTGTAGCCCAGCACATTTTCAATTCGGTCAAAATTTGCAAACTAAACAAAATTGACCCAAAAGTCAAAATTGCAATTACGCTCCCTTTTGCGTGTACTTTTTTGCTTATCACGAGAACAACGAAGCCTTCGCCTTCACCCGACGACGCCTCCGCCTCCGCCTCCGGTCTTCAGTCGACAACACACACGAAGTCTCCTACTCCGGCCAACAGCCGCTTCTGCCTCCTCCTTCTTTCACGTTGTTTACAGGTACGATCGACCTTCTTTGATTAATGTTCTGTTTATGACAATGTCTTCTTTGATTAATGTTGTGTTTATGCAATGCTGCTAGTTGACTAGGAGTTGATAATGGTTATACTGTGTAAAAGTATAAATGCTACTCAATTATTGGTTTATTAGACCATAATCAGTAAAATTTCTAGTAATCGACAATTTCAACTGGTCTATGATATCATAATCATATTAATTTCTAGTAACCTACGTTTGGAGGGTAGATTTAAACTATGATAACTTGTTTTGGACTGGTGATTGAAGTAGAACTTTCACTCTCCTGTGATAACTTGTCAGCTATGGATGCCAACAAGTCAAAGGCGCATATTTTGCTACCCTCTGATGATTTCCTATGTGAACTCCTCTAAAGAAACAAAAAAAATGTGTCAATATTCTTTCTTATAGAAAAACTCAGTAGCAGTTAAACCGCTATAGAAAGAATTTGCTACAAACCCCTTTGCCTTCATCAAAATAATCTCATCATACACTTTCACCAAACATCTATTCAGAGCTCACCACTTCTCCAATAGCAGCAGCCTCACTTGGGCAGGTGTATAAGGGTAGATTAAAAGAAAATGGGGATTTGGTTGATGTTTTCCTCAGGTAATATTTGTCAAAATTCACTTGGGCAGGTGTATAAGGGTACTTTAGGGAGTGCATTCATCCTTTTGTAACTTGATTTAACATCTGCAAAAGGTTGAAATTAAAGAATAAAAGAAATATTAGGTTAATATAACAGTTAAATGAGTACATTTGGCTCGAAAACAAGTCAACACAGCTGAATTACTAAAATGTTTTATAAAATTCCATGTCATAATTTTAATAAATAAATTCGATTTTAAGAATATGAGGCAATTTACATACCAATCATCAGAAATGAAGAGAGAGTTTCTTCTCCCCTGAGTTGCCACCTTTGCACTATTGAGTAGAAATATGCATTTAGAATGGAATGAAAACTACAAAGTAACCGATTTTTTATTTGTGTAATCTTCAATCACATTGATCCTTTTGAAATTTTCTGTACAGGACCAAAAGATTCAGAGACTATTCCAATCTCCTTCAATTTCACTTCAATTGCCTTTAGCTGTGGGGTATCGATTATTATTTCATCATCTTCTCATTAGTTGGATTAAGTCATAATCTTTAACATATCTTTACCCTCATCATTTTCTATGATCATTTTTATGCTCATTTTTTTATCAACAGGTCTGAGGTTATACATTGGAAATTTACCATTATATATGGATGAGGTACTAGTGCAAACAACCAAGAGCAGGAGGATCCGTATGGTAGAAAGAAAAACCAGAAAAAGAAGTGTTGATAAACCCAAAACGAAACATCTTGAAGCAAGGTATACATATTAACAAACATTATTTGAGTTAATATATGAATCAAGAGTACATAAAGCATTGAATTTGTTTTGAAAATAGCATAAACTTACCTTGGGCATCTTTAATTTTATATAAAATTTTGGTTTTTTTTTTGGTGTTTAAGACTCTTAGAATTAATTATACGAGTGTTTATGCTTTTGTAGGCATACAATGGACCGTAAAGAAAAGAAAAAGAGAAGTGTGACATTGATCAGAGATCATTCCAAAGAATATCTATCAAATTTAACAGTTGAGTTTGATCAATTCGGTAGAGCTATTGGACCTAACCGCTTTAAGTTCACCAGTTATCGTGGAGTGACTACGAGGAAGATGATTTCTATCCTTATAGATAGTTGGGATTTAGTGGATCAATGTGACAAGGATCAATTGTGGTTGAACATAAAGGTAAAACTCATTTCAACACACTTTTGATATCATTTAATAGTAGCAATCACAATTTCCTGCCATGTTATTCTCTTCTATCATACAAGTTGTATCATATCATTTACCTAATAATTGTTATCTTCATTTTTTATTTAAAAAAGCAGAATTATTGGCATATACGAGATGATAATCATAAAGCACAAGTACTTAGAGATTGCAACACGCAATGGAAGGCCTACAAGTCGGCGCTTCTTAAGTTGTGGGAAAAAGGTGTCAATCCAGTAAAAGAATACTCGTACCTTGACAAAGCAATGTGGAAAAAGTTTATTGTTCTAAAATCCACAGAAGAATTTGAGGTCTGTTTGAGTTTATAATATTGTTGTGTTTTACTATTTCTAATTGGACAATTCATTTGTAAAGGAATTAAGAAGAAAAGGAAGGGAGGCAGCAAATAAAAACAAGAACCATCCTTGGTTGGGCCCAAGCGGGTATCGTGGTAATGAAAGCAAATGGGATGAAGAGGCAACATCTGGTGTAACAATAAAAGGCCACAATATATCAAGCAAGCGGGCAAGGAATTTTCTCTATGCCAGGAGAAAACGCAATGCATCGGGGCAGTTGGTTATAACGCCAGAGACCGAACCTCTAGTAGATAAGATTGTAAGATAGTGGCCTTTGAAAGTTCTTTATTAAATAAACTGCTCTTACAGTTGTATTGTTTGCATTTTTATAGATCCAAAAAGATATTCTGTTATCTCAAGGAGTGTTGGAGCTTGGACCTCGATCTGATCTACTGGCGGAGGTACTAGGACGGGAACATTCCGGTCGCACGAGGGCAGTTGGTCATAATATTGGATTAAAGCAATCAATGATTTATAAAAGAAAAAAGAAAGAACATGAGTTACCCGATGTTGAACAGATGCAAGAAAAGCTAGAGACGAGGATGTTGAATAGCAACTTTTATGACAAGATCAAAGATAGGTTAATGACTGAGATGTCGGAACAATTAGTACCGATAGTGGTTGCTGCGTTGAAGCAAGATAAGACAATTGATATGGCGGAAGACACAAATTTTTCTCGGGTGAAGACGACAAGTGTTGGATCGAAGACATCCACGACATTGTTGGATGATTTGCATAAGATAACGGTATCTATTTTTTCTAACATATATATTTGTTTGCATGTTTGATAATATAACTTTGCATTAAACAAAATGTATATTTGTTTGTAGGAAGCCACCGACTGCGAGTTGATGCTACCATATGGCACAATACGCCCATCATTAGCCAAAGGAACCGTCTTCCCTTTCGGAGATGGTGTAATTCATTCGGTTCCTCTAGAAGCAGGGCATTTGAGGGTATCAGTCGATATTATCTATGGATATCATCATTCTTTCCTTCTTCCAATCTCGCCAATTGAAGGTGTATATAATCTAGGGCAGGCACTTCATAGTTTTATTCAATGGCCTAGAGATTCAATTACTCTTATTAAGGTACATTAATATCTAATCACATGCATCATTGACTATTTACTAAACTCGATTTCAATTATGTAGAAAGATAAAAGACCTCTCATTGAACCATTATCAATGTCGACCCAAGCTGCTCCTATTCTTCATGACCAGGTAGTCACTCTAGCTTACAATTTTGGAAAGGTATTGTTTTCATTTATAGTTAATTTGCCATAAAAAAACTACATATATTAAAATATAATCTTTTAATTCGGACTTTAGGAAAAAGAGAAAGAAAACGTGAATGTTGAAGAAGCTAAGGAGCATAAGAAGAAAGCAAACAAAAAGCAAGAGTATGAGGTGCATAATTTTCTTCTTTTGATTTCTTTGAAAGATATTATATATTAACATGCCTTAATAAGATAAAAAGTTACAATGAAAATATATGAAAGTTGGATGCTATTTTTAGCATTTAGCCCACAGAAATATACTGTATTTTTTACTATTTTTTGGTGGCAGAAAAATCTTCCTAGAAAGAAAAGAAGGAAACTGGAAGCATCTAAAGAGATGATGGGGGATGAAGCAGAAAATAGGGTATATGGCGCAAACCTACATCTCTCTCTCTCTCTCTCTCTCTCTCTCTCTCTCATTGTTATTATTTTCATAGCAATACAATTTTCATGATAATCGTTTGGTTTCTTAATGTAGGTACAAAAGGAAAAGTTATACAAAACTATGCAAGAACCCATGATGCCAAAGAAACTGTTTAAGAGCCACAACATTCCGGAGTCGTTTCCTATTGTGTCTGAACCTGGGATCTTCAACTCTGCGAGTGTTGAAACCGTGATTAGCTCAGTGGCCATTATGGAGATGTTGAACAAAGAACAACTTGATATTAGTTGTATTCTCTGGTATCAAATGTAAGTACTTTAACATTTATGGTATTAATGTTTCATATTATTTTACCATTATAATATATATTGTGTTTTCAGAATGCTACATTCACTCATGCTTGTATCAAGAATGAATAACAAATGTGGTTTTATAAACCCACAATGTATCACGTCTACGAGATGTGAATACGATGATAGGGGTGAAACAGATCATGTCATCAATGATCTTGTTGATATGATGAATTTTCATGAGGAAAAACAATTTTTTCTTGCACCATATTGGGAAAGGTATGACATTCTAAATGTCTTTACTGTTATGATATTTTTAATCAAAAGTTGTTTATGTTTAATTTGTTTAATCTTTATTAGGAGACCTTGGATGTTGATAGTGATTTGTCCTCATCAGTATAAAAGCTACATTTTGGATTCTGCAAGACAGACAAAGACATTGAAAGACTACACAATAGTTGAACATGTGAATAAGTAAGAAATTTATTATTTTAGTATTCGAAATGATATATCTTTTTATAAATTTTAACAAATCATTGTTGTTTATTTTTGTTTTAGGGCTGTTACAAGGTTTAAAAAAACAAAAACCAACAAATCACGTTTGTGTCCAATGACTTGGATTTTCCCCAAGGTAATTAATCTTACTAACTAATATATATATATATATATACATATATATATATATATATATATATATATATATCCGAAAAGAAAACTCTCATACGTATATAATTGTTTTAGTGTAATCAACAATTGTCCGATTGGGAGTGTGGTTACTACGTTATGAACTGGATGCATGAGTTTGTACTTTTTCGACAACATGGATTTCCGAAAGTAAGTATATTGTTAGATATATTTTTTTTTCATTTTTGTTTATTGTAATAAAGGCTCACCTTTGTTCAATAACAAATTTTTTATCTTAATTTGTTTGTAGAACATTTGGAAGGACAAAAAACCATTTTCTAGTGAGGAATTGGAGGAACGTGTTAAAACATGGATGAGAACTTTTGGTGATAAAGTGAAGCCTTTTTGTAAGGTACACAAGTTGTATTTCATGTTGTATTTGCTCATATTTTTTATGTTCTGGAGAAGTTTTCACCCTTGCATTGCTATAGATGAAGTTGTTAATGGCCAAGGTCTTATAATTTGAGTTTTCTTCATTAAAAGTTATTTGAGATTTTGAATCGTAAGTTTTCTTGTTAATTTTTGTAGGCATACAATGAATCAACCACAAAGGGGAAAGAGAGGCTAGAGGTGACAAAGGGGAAAGAGAGGTTAGAGATGTGACATTAACAATTTTTTTTCTGTTTAATGAACTAAGTTCATTGTAATTTTTTTTCTATTTCTGAAAATGAAAACATGATCAGTGATGTCCCACTTCTTATGGTTGGAATGGAATCATATAGTAGGTTTGTATTTTGTAGAGACTGATCCATGGTAATCATATAGTAGCTTTGCAGAAATTGAAAAGTTTGTTTCAGTTGGAATGGTGATCCATGTGTTCCAGAGCATCCATGGACTGGAATTGACTGTTTGGAGTGGAATTGGTGTATTAGATGTGAGACATCAAGTACGGTTGTTTATTGGTGTATTAGATGTGTATATATGGCGTATTAGATGATTGTATGCATGCGATGGTTGTAAACTAGATAGGATAATATAATACGGTCAAATAGCCGTACTCTATTATGCATGTAATCTAATACACCCCTCTACTAATACGCCCTCTATGTACGTATTATATTCACAATTTCAACCGTACTCTATTAACCTTTTTCTAGTAGTGCATCCTACGAGTAGATAACTCTAACATCCTCATAATTTTTTCCTTTTTGATATAATTAAAGTTGAAAATTTTAAATATACCAAATAACTAAATAAAATAATAAAATATGAAAATAAAAATAAAATATAATTATTTATTTATTTATTAATTGATAAACAATTATATAATTAATTTAGATTATTGTGTTATTTTGGTCAAAAATTTAAAACTATGGGTACAATGTAAGTTAGACAAACTCCAGTATTTGACCAATGGTTAACTCAAATAACCTTTTGTGTCTAGCTGTAACGTCCAAAAAATAAGATCAAAAATTTTCATTTTTAATTTAAATAAAACTTTGTTTCAAAACATTGTCATATAACCTAAATAGACCAAAGTATGTCACTACATCATATTATATCAGAGTAAATGTCAAATGTGGAAAAGTGGTATGTGCTCTGCAATCATTCCGGGCTCTTCCTTTCCGATCCTGAAGTACCAGAAGCATAAACTGAAAATCGTAAGCTTAAAGCTTAGTGATTTCCCCAAAATACCACATACCATACATAAATAAACATATACTAGGCCCCCACCCCACATCGGACCTCGCCCAACATCGAGTCCCACTCAGCCTCGGGCCCCGACCGACATCGAGCCCCACTTGGATCATAGATGTCATTCATTAGACCTCGCCTGACACACATATAAGCATATAACCATATAATCATACTAACATATGCGATGATCACAAAGATAACAACATACAATACAGTCATCGAGCCTCGCTCGACATCCAAATCTACTCAGTATACATACCAATGCATACACATGGAAGAGTCACACATACATCTAGCATCCTACATAAAAAACCATGGGTCGATATTGGTGCCTTCGACCCACTAAACACAGTGAGAAAACTCACCTCGGACTGTTGAATCTTATAGATAAATCTATTACTGCTGGCCCGCTAAAATCCCTACAATATAATCACAAAATAACATCCAATTAATAATTGGTTCCCGACTCATGTGACATCCCCAAAATCACGGCCAGAAAAGACCGATTTTGTTTATGCTTTATGAAAATCAGAGTACTTCATTTTATAAAAAGGTTGCGGAATTTGTTCCCAGAAAAACACGATAAATACGTTATTAAAACATTTTCGAAGAAACGTATTTTTATTCATCTTAAAACGTTTGGGATGTCATCGTTAATACAGAAACATAAGCATAAACAGAACTTACAATTATTTACACTAGTGATCTACATCTCTTTAAATCTCTCAGTGTAATGTCACTTCATTTCGTCACCTGTGATATACATAAACTGAGTGGGTCAGGTTGGGAAACCTGGTGAGTACATAGGGTTTTCAACCCACAATAATATAATTATTATGTTTAATCAAACAATCAACCCAATTACCCATCCCCATTATCTTCTTTACTCTTTAAGGATTTAACCTAAGAGTCATCTATCCTTCATTCGTTTATTCCGAAGTCCCTTACTTCCAGGGTTCTAGGACTGGCACTAAATCCATAGCTGTCAATGTTCGTTCATAAAGCACTAATTCCATAGTTGCTATAGTCTATTCATCGGGTACTAAATCCATAGCTACCAGTCTTTATCTAATAGGTACTAAGTCCATAGCTACCAATGTTCAACAGGTACTAAATCCTTAGCTACCAGCGTCTAACTAATAGGTACTAAGTCCATAGCTACCAATTCCCAACAGGTACTAAATCCATAGCTACCAACGTCTAACAGGTACTAAGTCCATAGCTACCGGTGTTTGTCCCATAGGCACTAAGTCTATAGCTGCCAATGTATACTCACGTCATCTTCTATCTCTCATCATTTATCTACCCATCATCATACCCAACATATTCGTATATATAAAATACGTATACAGTTTAAATCCTTTAAAACATGTATAAAACGTTCATCCAGCATAGACAACAAGTATTCAGATAATATGCACACATAGCACGTAGTTTATATAAAATACTTCATATCTATGTGTAAGATGAAAGGGACCATGCACTCACCTGAAAGGTGGTGACTCGGCACTCGGATAGCGCTTCGATACTCCCAAAACAATTTTCTTCGATAAAACCTAGTATCAATACCACTAGGGTTTAGTCTAACGATAACCGCGACAAACTAATAGTCTGACTATTATTATTATTATACAAGCGTTAAATAACACTCAATATAACACATAATAATAGCCCAAATACTCATTATAAGTTCCTAATAATGTTACTATATTAAAACATAAGCTATACTAAAGATAGCGTAGGCATAGCTCACTTACATCGGGTTTTCTCAAAAACCGGGCTTCGCTGGAGCAACATTTCCGAGCCGAAAGACCCTTTTTCTTGGGTCTCCGGGAGCCTCGGGGCTTCCTTCGGGTGCTAGGGGGTTTACCTAGGCTTTTAGGGGGTTAGGGGGCTAGAGAGAGAGTCTATAGAGAGAAAGAATAGTTTAGGAAGGTGTGAAGAATGAGGGAACCCGACACCTCTATTTATAGGGGAGGAATCTGATAGACTCATCGAGTCTGAGTCATGAATCGTCGAGTTGGTCCATGTGGTGGCCTTCTGGTGGTGCCACGTGTCCAATTCTGGTGGTGCCACGTCACCCCCTATCGCGTATCAGCCTTCAAACTTAGAAAAATCATAACTTTCGCATACGAGCTCCGTTTTCGACGTTCTTTATATCCACGCGTAGGTAAAATCAAGATCTACAACTTTCGTTTAGACTCCGTCAGCTAATTCTCGACCGATCTCAAATTTAACAGTAGGAGGCGTTTAGACTGTTAAATGACCGCGAAGAGTTCATAACTCCTTCATCCGGACTCCGTTTTCGTCTGTCTTTTTACCGTTGAGTTCCTATTAATGAGACCTTCAACTCTCATTTAGGTCACGTAAGCCAAAAACCGCTCGAACTAAAATTCGAGTTTCGGGCCGTGCACTGCTAAGCCGAATCTTAGAAAAATCATAACTTCTTCATACGAAGTCAGATTTGGGCGTTCTTTTTATCGATGTTCTTAGTTTAACATATTCTACGACTTTTGTTTAGATTGCTAAGGCTAAAAAGTCTTCTATCGTAAATTCACTATTTACGTCTCCCGGTGCCGTGCCGGTTTTGCCGTAAAACTTCGGCGGGCCATAACTTCTTCGTTATAGCTCGGATTTCGGCATTCTTTATATGTACGGAAACCTTGAGACATATTACACAACTTGTTTAAGATTATTTATTCTAAATAATCTTTTGTCGAAAAGTCGTTTTCAACCCCTATTGTCTCTAATTTGACTAGCCCGGATCTACGGGCGTTATAATTATCTCCCCCTTAGGATGATTACGTCCCGGAATCATCAACGAAACAGGGTCGTATAATGACTCCATACGTTATCTCTTCATCCTAGGTAATATTTATAACTTCTACATTCCTTCAAGTCTATCTCCTAGACTCGTTGACTGCAAGCAGTACTCGATCGTGCACCTGCTCTCTACCTAAGGTTAGACTCCAAATTATGACCTTCGACTAAAAAATCTCGATCCTTACTGGATACGAACTTGAGATGATTTCTCTTATTACTACTATAGATCGATGTGTCATATTCTAATGACCTATCATCGTATGTTGCAACACTTAGATTTAGGTCTCTTTGTGTTAAATTCTAAAACAGACTATGCCTTCCTTCATGTTCTAATGTGATATAATCACACTTTAACATTAGGCATTTCTAGCTACCAACTTCTTTAACAACGAGCGCGATATTTCTATTGATCGCTTTGATTTCAATCGTTTGGTTTAAGTCGGACGCTACATCAAACTTGGTTTTCTGAACCACGTAACCTACTCATCGTAGTCGGACTCAATGTGATATGACCACTAGGGTCGGGATAACAACAATCTTCTTAGTCATTACCGAAACAATGGTAACAACATACTTGAATAAAACGAAATCAATTACTGGCTTCTTGGTAACCTTGTGACTTTCCCTGATCCAAGTGTGAGTCCTGTGCTTCCGGTAGTATAGGCCTCTACTACCTTTCACACCTACTCATACTCGTTCCAAGTATTGTCTCGCAGTTTCCCAAGTCACCATGCAGCAAATCACACAACAATTTCACACATCAGATAACAAAACGAAGATTTTATTATTTCTCGAAACTATTACATAGGTGTTCAAGTTTACCCTAGACTACTCCTCTACTAGGCTACATCATACGAAACTATGGCTACTGCATAATCCGATCTTCGGGTAAGAAGTCCTCATTCTTGATTCCTTGCATGGTTCTCTGCCTCGTCAAGGATCATGTGAAATGCCCTCGGCCTTGGTGGCGTTTCTGGTCTTGCTGCTTTATTTTTCCTTGGGCAGTCTCTGGACATGTGCCCCTTGCCTCCACATCCGTAGCATACTTTGTCATTATGCGTGCAGTCTTTGGAATAGTGACTAGTCCTCCCACACTTGTAACAAGTCACTTCTTCGTTGCACTTTCCACCATGCTTCTTCTTGCATCTATCACACCATTTTTGCTTCACCTCCATCTGCTCCTCCAATCTTTGAGAATTTGCTTTCCTTGTTCGGCCTCGAAGATCCTTCAAACTTCCGCTTCTCTCCTACCTTATCTTTTTCTAGACCCTTTTCTCTTATCTGGGCCTCTACGTTCTTAGCTGCCCTAACAGCTGCTTTCAAAGTAGTTGCCATTTTGACCATTGGACCAAAGTTAGTGGGCAGTCCGTTAGCAAACCTATCAATCTTGGAGAGTTCAGTAGGCACCAAGTAGAAGGAATAGCTTCATCCTTTCGGTGAATGCGGTGGCATACTCATCAACACTCATCTTCCCTT